CATCGGAGCATCAACTCTCTATGGCTTTTTGTGATGGAGAATATCTAAGTGGGCGGAAAAATATAGTACGGACATTGATTTCACCAGTTAGAGAGGTTGTTCACTCGTTTCTTGTGGGGTGATACAGCTACTCATCGGAGGATTCACTGGTGTCACTGGGCTGAGGTATGTTTCCCTGCATAGGAGGGCGACTTAGGAGTGCGTTCTTTTTCTAACTTAGCCAAGGCTTGTAAGGTGAAGCTCTGGTGGAGTTTTCGCGCTCAACAGTCACTTTAGTCCACTTTTATGAGGGCCAAGTACTGTAGGTCCACCAATCCTGGGCTGACTGAGTTTCGTTACCTAGCTTCACCTCTTTGGAGGCGGTTGTGTGGGATTCAATCCATGGCTGAGCCGAGGATCAGATGGTTAGTACGGTCTGGTGAGATCAGTTTCCGGTATGATTGTTGGTTGGGGGATTATCCATTGGCTTTAGTGTATCCAGGGGCAGCTTTTGGGGTTCTTATTTCTGCTTACTAGGCGGGTTGGGTAGTGGGACAGAGGCCGATTGTTGGGGTTTTTACCTTCTTCAGTTGTTGAGCAGATTGTGCAGATTTCGATTCCAGAGCAGGGGGTTGATCAAATGAGGTGGAGGTTGTCTTTGGATGAGGATTTTTCATTGAGGATTGCTTAGGCTGATAATCAGATCTCCTTCTTTATGTGGCGGTTGTTTCATGGTTTCCTGGCCACAGATGATGGCTTAGAGAGACGGGGTTTCCATGTAGTATCCCGGTGTGTGTGTGGTGGGGCTGTTGAGACTCTTAGGCATCTTTTTTTGGATTTTTCGCTTGCAGTTCAGGTGTGGGGTCACTTTTATCAGATGTTTGGGGTCAGATGTCGGCCATTTCAGTCTCCTTATGCTTCATTGACGGTGTTGTGCTCCTTTTGCAAGTCACGTGCGGGTACTGCTACCGTGCTTCATTCTGTGGCACTTATGGAAGGCGTTTAATGCCTATAGGTTCGATGTCCAGGCCTTTCAAGTGTCCGTTGTGATTTAGAGGGTTGTGACCGATATGCTGTTGGTTAGGCTTGCTTTTAGGTTTGCTCCGAGTCAGTTGCGTCAGAATGAGTCAGTTGAGTTTGTAGGTTCTCTTAGGGTCTTGGTTCCTCGGCCTCGATCTTTTAGCTTGGTTGCTTGGACTCATCCTGTAGCAGGTTGCCTGAAGACCAAGGTTGACGGCTGTTCTAAAGGCAATCCGGGGCTGTCTGCGGCAGGGGGAGTTATTCGGGACCACCAGGGTCGAGTACTTAGGGTTTTTGGCTTGTTTTTGGGGCATCAGCCTACTCTGTATTCAGAGTTGCAGGTTATTTGTGCTGGGTTGGAGCTGGGCACAGATTTGGGAGCTTCAGAGTTGGTAGTGGAGTCAAATTCAGCTACAGTGATTTCTTGGGTTTTTTCTCAGGGTACTAGGTGCTGGATTTATGCTTACCTGCTTGCTCGGATTCAACTACTGTGTGCTTCTCTCTCAGCTCGCGTTTTCCACTTCTTGCGGGAGGCGAATCAGGCTGCAAACTTCATGGCTAATTGGGCTTGCTCTCAGCAGCTCAATTAGCGATTCCCTGATTCGTCATCCTTTCCTTCTGGGATTACAAGCATCCTTGTCTTGGATGCTCGACAGACTCCTCACATTCGTCATTGAGTTTTATTTTAATTGATGTTTTCTGTTAGTTTGTTTTGTAGGGATTCCCCACTTTGCTTTTCTATTTATTTCATGCTTTTAGTGCTGAGTCACCACTTTGCTTTTGCTTTGACTTTCTTCCACTTCTGAAGGCTTGGCTTTATGTCCTCCTCATTTGTACTTTTTTCCTTTTAGTTATATATACATGTAAGGGTTCTGCAAAACCCTCCACCTAAAAAATAAAAGTTATAATTTTTGAAAAATATTATGTAACCAAAAATGAACGGGGATCATTGGATGAGTGGATCATATCAACTTTTTTAAGGAAACCATTGATCTAATGGTCCTTATTGATTTGAGATGCAAATTTGAATTGCAAATTTGGGTTATATAACATTGTTCATAATTTTTTAGAGTTCAAGTTAGAATATAGGCTTGACAATCGTGTTAGGTGAAACAGTTTTGTATCGGGTTGAACGGGTTCATGTTAAAAAACATTTCATTCATGCCCTATTCATTTACATTAACATGTCTAACTATCACTCTCGTACATGACTTGTTTATTAGAAGGGTTACCTAACACAATCCGTGTGTCACCCGCTAAATAAGAGAATCGGTTAGAGATTTTTAGTATACAAGAAAAATATCATCTCGTCACACATTACACATGTTTGAGTTCTCTATTATAACAATAAGTCATGACTCAGCAAAAAAGTAAAGACAAAAACTAAACATTAAATTTCTACTAAATTCAAATGAGTCTAAAAAATAGGAGGTGTGAAATGAGGCAGAGAATGAGAGACCTAACTATTTTTTTGAATTTATAGAGCCATTGTTAACGGATTAAAACGCGTTTATGGGTTTAACATGAAACTGATTCATTTATTTCACGAGTCTATCGGATTAACCTGTTAACCAGGCAAACCCGTTAAGATTACGCTTAAATCAGCTAAATCTGTGTTGAGTTCGTGTCAATTTCACCAGTCGTGTCTAAGATTGTCATCCCATTACAATATGATCCATCATACCGGTTATAATTTGGGATAATTACAATGACACCCCTTCTTGTTTTTAACAATTTCACTGATCTCCTTGCTATTTTTGAAATTACAATGAGCCCAAGTCAGAATAGTCGGCTGAATATGGTTAACAAAAATTTATATTGTCTAATTTACCCTCACACTGTTTTGACTACTTTTCTTCAAAAATATTCATGTACAACCAAACGAAAAAAAACTTAAAACCCATATAAAAATAGTTGATCCCCTTCCATACAAACCCAGCCAAGTAACCCCTCTCTCTCTCTCTCTCTCACGCACACACACACACATAGAATGCTAGTTACCGATGATGCACAAATTAGTTTTATGCACCTCTGTTTGAGTGATTAATAATTAATGCAATAATTAAGTAAAGAGAGAGTAACACAAGCAAGAAAAGGATGTAGAGTGGTTCGGTCAACGTGACCTATTGCACTATGAAGGGCTAGAATGACCTAGTGTTTTATTATTTTGAGGAGAATAAGGAGATTAGACTATAGCAAATGAGGTACAAACTATGAGAGTGATAGCAGATGTGTTCGATGTCCCTCAAATATTGGGCGGCGCTTACAATTTATAGTGCCTTTTAATAGACTGAGATGCCTTTTCAGTAACTAAATAGCTAACTTGGCAGAACTGGGGTTATCCTCTCAATCATTGAGGCGGTTACGAAGCTCCCCTTAAGATCAAGTCAAAGGATGATGTGGTTGACTTTTTCTAAGGCGGCCTTGGTGATGTAACTCCTGAAATTCTGATGAGCCTGACTAGTGTGGGCCCCTCTTGGGTTGGAACCATTGGATTTCATTTAATTAGGCCTTTATTCCAACTGGCCTTATTACTGAGTTGGGCCTTCGAGCCTGACCCATCAGTTACTATGGTCAACTGGTCATTATCCCATCGTTGTGATTGCCACCAACACGGTGCCCGTTGTCGACCAATGCCACCCAAACCATTCATTTCCTCCAATCCTCTCATTCCCTTTACCTGGTAATGCTTGGTTTTTTAATGCATGAAGATATCATAGTTGAAAGAATTCTCATGCTCTACAGACCTAAAACAAAGAGGAGCAAAGAGAATAAACACAGTATGATAAAACTAAGGGGTCGTTTGGTAAGGTTTTTGTTTTTGCGTCTTCAAAAAACAAAACACAGAGACAATTTTTTGTCTCTGTTTTGTGGTAAACACTGAAACAAAAAACATGTTTGATAGTCATTTTTGTCTATCAAATTATGAGAATAAAAACATAAAACATGTTTGGTAACTACCTAAAGTTTTATCCTAAATATGTTTTATAATATCTCATTTTTTTTTTGTTTTCAAACAAAACAACACTTTATTTCATGAAAAATGATTTATAACCATGTATTAAAAACTTTCAACAAAGTACCAATCTTGCACAACTAGATTTTCAAAAAAATTAGCCATGGAACTAAAATAAGTCAGTTGAATTACAAGAAGCAAAGAAATTTAAAGAATTCTATTTACAAAGAGTAGGCTTTAATCCTTCAACAAGACTAAAGTCATAAAACTATCCACACAATCCAGCATCCAGGCTTCAAAGTGCAAAAAAACCACTTCAGAAAGCAACCAAAACCTGGACCTGCTACTCCTCCAGCTATTGAAATCTCCTCTTCACTGTGTCAGCTCACATCTCAACTTCTTTATTGAAAAATTCTACTCTTTGGCTCAAAGCTCCAAAGCATAATAGTGCAGCACCAGCTCAGAGAGAAATACAGTCCAGACTAGCAGCTCACTAACAGACCATAAAAATCTTGCCTGTAATCAAATTGCTACAGTCCAAATCTTCAACATTTCAACACCTTGTTGGAACAACATTCTTCCAGCCAATCTCAACAACATTCTTAACATGGTCCCAGTGTTCACAAACAGACATGCATTTATAGATTTGGAATAAGCATTTCCCTAGAACTTTTTGACAATTGAATTAAATAGTTTCATCATGTTGCTCAAAATTACTTTCCTATATCATCTACATATTTACCAATTGTGCAAGAACGGTGTCGAATATAAGGATCCAATGCCCATTAAAGAAAAAGAAGGCCCAGTTTATACTCTTACAGTCTGAATCCTAAAATTTGAACATCAATAATTCACCGAAAAAATTCCAAGAGAACCCAAGAAAACCCTATCTAATAAATTTGATATATTATGAAACCATACAAAGCTATAAGCTAACAAATGCCAATCTCATTAAAAGGAAAGAAACAAACCATTTTTTTTTTGAAGAGCCAACTTTTTGCTATATTGACAAGAAAGAATCAGAACTACTCAATCTCAGTGGACATCAAAATTTACCTAATTTCATTGAAGTATTAGGTGATTCCAACATCTTCCTTCTCTTTTTCTTCCTCCTCAATACATTCTCTAGCACGTGCAACCTCCCCCCCTGCTGTTTTGTGTTTGATGTATCGACTGTAGGCTTCAAATTCACGTCAACCATGTCTTCCTGTTTTGTTGAGAAAAGGGTTTCCATCCCTGGCAAGGCAGCAGCAATCTTTCGAAACAGAGGCTTGATATTGAATCCTGCTTTTGCACTGGTTTCTATGAACAGGATTCCAAACTCCTGAGCCTTGGCATCTCCTTCTGTGTATGAACAGGATTCCAAACTACTGTGTATGAACTAATTTAAAGAAATTAGGGCTTATCAACCAAGCAATGGCCCCGAAAGCAATCGACTCATCGAAATCAAATTCGTTGCCAAAAAAATAAGGAAGGCCAAAAAAATCTAAAAATATGTTTGGTATCCACACACACAAACACAAATCTGTGCATATATATGCACAACTTTTAGGTTTCACAGAGAAGAGGGAGAGATGAGAAAGAGAGTTAGCGATGGAGGTGGGTTTCATATAGAGAAAGGATAGAGGAGGCAACGATTCGTCTGGAGGCAGCAATGGAGGTGGCGATTATTCTGGAGGCAACGATCTGTGCGTATATATGCACAGCTTATGGGTTTCACAGAGAAGAGGGAGAGAGGAAAGAGAGAGGCAGCGATTGAGGTGGGTTCACAGCTTCTGGGTTTCATACAGAGAAATGAGAGAGGAGGCAGCGGAGGAGGCAACGATGGAGGCTAGTGGTCTGATAACAAAGAAAGAAGAGATGAGGGAGAGATGAGACAGACAGAGAGAGCGAAGCGATGGGGAGGCGAGAGGCGGTGAAATGGTTTTTTATAGTTCAACAAAAAAAAAGGCTTGTTTTGCTGTTAAGAGGAGTCGAAGTTCGGATCTCATTAATTCCTACCATTTTTTGCGCATGTTGTCTTCGTTTTTTGTGTTTCTTGAAACATCTTTTTTTTGTTCCATTTTTTTGTCTTTGTTTCCAAAAAACTAATATAAAAAAAAACAAAAATTGTACCCAAACATGTTTTTGTCTTCATTTTTGAAAAAAATTAAAAACAAAAACACAAAACACAAGACAAAAATAGTTACCAAACAGCCCCTAAATTGTCCCATTTTAAACAATAATATCTCTCCAAGGTACAAATCAGAATTCATTATGTAAGGACTTTGGATTAAGATATTGCAAAGTAATTTGCAAATACTTTTATGTTGTTCATTTGGGTGGCAATTTTTTTTTTTTGGATATTTATTGGTAAATTTTGGGTAGATTCTCTAAGACTGTTAGTGAAAAAATGTTTTGTCGAAAATGTTTTGAATAGTTTTTTTTTTTTATATAAACATTTGGCAAATGATTTGATTTGCGAATAGTTTTTGTTTGCAAAATTTGATTCATGGGTTTTTATTTTTGGCTATCCAACCTGTGTTGTGCTGTGTATATGTGTGTTTGTATATATATTTTATATATATCCACACAACCTATTGAGATCAATTTTTAATTAGATAAAGTGGTAGTTTACTTGAATGGGGACAAAATGGGTATTTCAGAAATTAATTGTGTTCCCATCATCATAGCCAAGTTTGTCCACCAACAGTCCATTTTTTTTTTTTTTGCTAGTGGAAAAAAAGGAGGTGGGGGCAAGGAAGAGTGCCTAGCGACCACCCCGATAAACCCTCACTGGTGGAATTATAAGGCCCTTAACCGTGCCTGGAACATCTCTCGGGACCAGACTTAGAAACTCTAAGACTTGAACCCCCAATTTCAAGGTGAGGAGTAAGGTCAGTACCCCACTAGACCACCCTACTTGGTAGTCCACCAACGGTCCGTTGATTGAAGGGTGAATTGGTTACAAGTTGTCACTTTCAAAGGGGTGCAATATGATTCTGAAAACAACAAGGGGTTCAATGAAATTTTCAGAAGCTGAGAGGGGTGTCATTCTAATTTATCCTTATAATTTTTTAAAAGAAATTTTTTGTGATAAGAGTTATCCTCTACATACCTCTTTTTTTTTTTCACATGGCTTATCGAGGCCAAAAAATATAAAAGAATCTTCTAGCGAGAAAGGCAGCACAATTGTCCCGTGGCCAGTCATCATTGGGTTCCTATTTAACCATGTCCATCAGTCATCTATCATGTTGGCTTTAGATTTGTTTCTTCTCGGCCAAAACGAAATAAAACTGTCCTGTGGCGAAAAAGGTTAAAACGCCACTGCAATTATTATGTCCACTACCGTTATTCTGTGAGAAAAATAAGGGGAAAATCCATCCTGCTCACTTGGTACGAATCCGAGAGCTCAAATCATAATTTTTTTAGGAGTAATCTTCATCCGACCGACCCAATTAAATTGTATCATTGACACAAAGATAAACAAAGAACACTAAATTACGCGGAAAAAATAATAAAAATAAGGACAAACAAAAGACCTAGAGAAAGTAAAGTCCAAAAAATGGATACAAAACTTTTGAGCATTAACAGGAACATTCCAGAGGTGAGGGACTCGTAGGTGGGGGCTTGGCTCTCTCCCAAACTCCCAGCAGTCCCCTGAGACGAAAAAGAAATCTTCCTTCCACCATTTATGAGAAGTAGGTAGGCTAGTTACTAAGGATTTTGCCTTCCTTCCACCATTTATGAGAAGTAGGTAGGTCGGTTACTAAGGATTTTACCTTAACCTTTTTTTGGCAAAATAAAGAAAGCCTGGGGTCAGAGATAATGTCAATTGCAAAAGATGGACAAGTTTGACGATAGTTGGAGGAGAATGAATACCACTTTCTTGCCAATGAACGAGTAAACTCACTGGGAGTACCCAACCATTTGGGGATACCCTAGTAGGGCATAAGTTGTAATGGACGAGAACCTCCCTAATGAAAGTGATGATGCACAAAATTGGTTTGCAGATTACCTGTCAAGTAGCAGTAGAAAATGTAGTAAAATTGGTAGAGGGAGAGAGAAGACAAAGTTTATAGTGGTTCCGTCAACGTGACTTACGTTCACTTTGAATGGTAAGGGTTGCCAGTATTTTATTATCTCCGGTGTAGAAGGAGAGCAGAATGTTACAAATTTTGAGAGAGGAGGAGAGAGTTATGCTCAAATGAGTGAGATGTCCCCCAAGTGTTAGTGGGACGTACAATCTATAGTGGCTTGGTGTAGTGATTGAATAGCTAGTCTGACGGTCATAACGGGTTGGGGTCGTTTAATAGTAATTAAATATCTTGGTGACCTCTCCTCTCCTCAACCGGCAAGGAAGTTATGATGCTCTTCAAAAGACTTGGTAAAGGATGAGGGAGGTTGATTCTCTCCAGACTATAAGGGTGAGGCTCCTGGATGCTCCCTTACTCGAAGTTGGCGAGGAGGAGGCTCTTGGACAACCCTTACTCCAAGGTGGTAGAGGAGACTCTAGGATGACCCTTACTCCATGGTGGTGGAGGAGACTCTTTGATGACCTTGCATACTCTTTGCTGATGTTGCTTTTTGATTCTTGATGAGCTTGTTCGGGTTGACCGCATTGAGCTGGACTTACTGGATCTCTTGGAGATGGGCTATAAACTCGGACTGGGCTTATAATTTGAGCTAGACCCTTGGGCTTGACCCATCAGAAAGGATGCATAGGAAACCTTAGTCCCGACTCAAAGGCCGACTCGAAAAAGCAGGCCATCCTAGGACAAGGTATGTTACATTGGTCATTGGCATTTGGAAGATGGACTATATCGTCGTTTGGGAAGCTATACTCCTCCCATGGTCTTAAATTTCATTTCGTTTCATACGAAACGCTTTGTTTTTTACAAAATGAAAAACTACACTTTAAAAGAATTTGTGAAAGTACTTGTTTTCAACGAAACGCGAAACGTTTCTATGTTTTTGCATGAAACGTTCGACAAGCAGCCCCTTTTTGATTACTTTGAGAAAACTTAAAAAAAGAAGAAGAAAGGAAGTTCGATTGAATGAGAAAGTCAGGAGACCCAATCGGTCAATCCCAACTCAAAGAGTTTTACACAGATATCATCTCTGCTAAAGTTGGGATCTAATCTCAGCTAAAAATTAGGGATTTCAACTTAGATCTCAACTGAAAATTAGAGATTTCTACTTACATCTCAGCTGAAAATTAGGGATTTCAACTTATTTTGTTGGGTTGTGAGGTTTAAACCAATTTAAATGAAAGGAGTGGAAAAGCTTGAACCAGATGGTGATCAGGTATTCTCTTTGATATTTTTTCAAAAAAATGATAGAAGAGTAGTGCAAAAGCTTGAACCAGATGGTGATCGGGCCATTGAGGTACATACCAGTTGCGCTTGCAGAGGTACATACCAGTTTTCTTTACAATGATTTACTAAAACAATATATTCTCCTACTAGGAATCTCTAAAAGATCTACCATGTAGGCACAAACATTTCAAGACGCTATGTATAGGTTTGGTGATTCAGTAGCTATTAGAGGAAGGTCGACAACTGAACCAGGTAATTAAAAATATTTAGACATTTATTGTTTAGAAATCCTTAATTTTGTATATACTTAAAATAACAAAGTCTTTTTTGAACTAACAAATTGCTTCTTCCATTTTGTAGCTGATTGGTGGTTCATGTATGACACTGATGCCCCAAATTTAAGACGAATTGCTATTAGAGTTTTATCACAAACAGCTTCGTCAAGTGGGTGCGAAAGAAATTGGAGTACATTTGCTCTGATCCATACTAAAGTTCGCAATCGCCTTAACTATCAAAAGTTGGAGAGTTTGGTCTATGCACATTATAACATGAGGTTGAGATTGTGACATCTCATGAAAGACAAAAGGAAAGTAGACCTTGACTTTAAACCAATAGATTTGGCTCATTTGTTTGAAGAGGATGATTTGCTCACAGAGTGGTTAGATGATCCAGGAGATGCACTCTTAGATGAATTTGACTATGAAGAACAACATGCTAGGCCAAATTCTTTTTTGGCTACATGGGTTGAAAGTTTGAATGGACCTCGTAGAAGTGGCACAAGTTCAAATGAGGTAAGAGCAAGGAACATTATCTTGGATGATGACGATGATTTTGAGATATTGATGAGAGGACCATCATTGCATCATACAAGCATTGTTGAAGTTAACAATAATGGTGGTGTGGATGAAGAAGGTGAGCATGATAGTAGTATCCATGTTGGTGGTATTGGTAGCAATGAGAATATTAACAATAAGGATGTTGGTGGTAAAGATGACGATTTCACTAGTGAACCGATAAATAATAATTCTTTTACTTCTTCGCAGCAACATCACACTGGAGAGAGTCCAACGGGTGTATATTTCACCAAAGAGCAATATTTTGATCATACCACCCAATACCAGGATCATGGTAGTCGTCACTCCAT